TATTCTAGTGTGCAGCCAAGATTGAGAACCACTGCTCTAATCTCTTCCTTAACTGTTCTTTAACCCATAAATAGCCGGATGTGGCAGAGGCAGACACACACACACACACACACACACACACACACACACACACACACACACACGGGACAAAGAGAGGAAGACAGGGAAGTGGAGACACAGAGACAGAAATACACTGATGGAAGAACATGGGGAGATGCAGAGAGACAGAGGGAGGAGAGAAGAGACAGTCATAGTCAAAGGACACATCAGATCTCCCTTCTCAGAAGACGGGAAGCTTCCCCAGAGCCACAGCTCAGGCCAGGTGGGCCCCACAGCGCAGCATGGGGCATTCGGGGTCAGAGAGGTTGAGTCACTGCCACCAGGAACACAGCAGGCAGTGAGGGGCCAAGCAGGGATCCCATGCCTGGTCTCCTGACTCCAAGGCTCTCAGCCTTTCACCACACATGCCCGTCTATATAACCTGTTGAAGGCTTGTCGGATGCCAGGTGGCATCCCCTGCCCTGGAGCCTAACACTCACTGAGATGATGGCCCAAGCATAACCTGTACTTTTTTTTTGAAGAAGCGCTGTCCAGACACAAGGAAGCCTTTCAAATGTTGGATTATTGTGGGGTGGGGAGGTTCCCTGGGGTAGGCTGCATCCAGCAAATACAGCAGAACATTTAAGTCAGGTGGAAAGATGTTACTTTTAAGTCCTTATACATCCTTAAGGGTGGGAACCGTGCATTGCTTATGTGGGTTGAATCCCCAGTTCCCAGAATTCAGAGGGGCCTTTGCACATGTTTGATGAGTGGATGAAGGAAGGAAGGACAGAATGCCCTTGAAAACCCTGGCCCTTGGGTGAGGTGAAGAGAGGCCCAAGGAGCCTCCTGAGAGGCACTGAGGGTGGGCTGCTATGTTCTGACTGCGGCCCCCAGCAGCCATCTTCATGCAAGTTAAAGCCATCTCCCAAGCCGGTCTTCACTGCTCCTCCTTCTCTGGACTTCGGTGTGGAACAGTGGGTTCGGGGGACCTGGCACAATGACTCCCACCTTCACGGCACACCTGTGTGAAGGGAGGCTGAGATTGCCTTCCCCAGGTGAGGTCATGACGACTCAGTCCTGCACAGGGATATACCACACCGGGCAGTGTGTCTTCAATGTGCTTTCCTACCTGCCCCCACCAAGGGAAGGGGCACTGGGGCAAGCGAGCATTGGAGGTGGAGTTTAGGCTGGAAGGACTCGGTCACAGGAGCCTCTGGCTTTGCAGGTCACTGTGAGGAGCTGAAGGTCTCTCTCAGAGGGTGGTGTGTCCTCTCCCAGATGGCCTTCACTGCCCACAAACGGGGGTGGGCCACAGGCTCTCCAAGTCCCCTTTCGCTTAGGGAAGACAGAGTCATCACCTAACACCACCACACCCGGCCCAGGAGTCCTCAGTGTCTTTATGGAAAGAGGCTGTATCTGCCCCAGGCTGCGACCTTCAGTTGGGAAGTGCAGACCTCTGCCAGATGCCCCAAGACGCTGCCTCTGCTCAGCTGCTGGGAAGAGGGGAACATGCCCCAAAGCTTAAGCAGATCTCAGAGGTGGCGACACTGATGTGAGCGGCAGGCTGCTGGAGGCGGTGCTCCAGGCTGGGAGGCCCACCTTGAGGATGTAGTTGCCGGGTTGCACATCAGTTATGTCAATCCACTGGCAGTCGATGTCCGCGTTGTAGGTGTCATAGCAGCCTGGGCTCAGGCCCTGAGAACAGAGACAAGAGTAGAGGGTGAGGTGCTATATACTCCTCAGAGGCCCTCATGACCACTCCAGCAGCCAGGGGCCCTCCTTCCTTTGTGCTTTGCCCTGACCTTGGTCTAGGGCAACTGCTCAGAGTGGGTCTGCTCCTCCTTAAACCCACAGGGCGGATGGGTCAGAGAGATAATAAATATAAGCACCAGATTACAGGGATCAAATGAAGAAGGGCATGGATGGAGGATAGGTGGGCATTTTGTGGTGTTTGGGCAGACAGACAGAAAGATAGAGCTGGGTAGACAAATAGGCAACTGGAACATCATGCCATCCTACTCTGTTGGAATGTTCCATTCTTTCCATGAGTAGACACCCTGGGAATGATGTAGGAAGGGGTCTGGTTGGGGGAGGGGAGACAAGTCCCCAAGGGGCCCTGTGGTGGCCCAAGGACTGGTAAGAAGACCCCTATTCTGTTGAGCAGAGTGGCCAGGGGCCTTGGCACTGGTCCTTCAGCTTGGCCCAGGCTGCATCACTGTCTGCTCCTCCAGCTCCCAGGGTGCGGCTGCATCCTGCACCTTATGCCCTGCACCCTAGCACAACCTGTGTGTGTGAGGTGCATGCGTAGCGCTTGAGGTTGCCGAAGTCGCAGGTGCTGTCCTCCAGGCAGAAGCTGGCCTTGTGGCCCTCGGCTACCTTCATGCCTGTGGCTGCATCCAACAGGTCATAGTGGCTGAACTCGTCCATGCTGTGGTAATGCCTGGAGGCACAGGACAGGAGAACAGAGAAGGCGTAGTCACCCTGGTGCTTCCCATCCCATTCCCCTCCTGGGATGGGCCCAAGTGACCCTGCTGTGACACAGCTTCTTCACCAGTCTGGGCTCCTGCTCTCCTGTGTCCTACAGGGCAGCACCTCTCCTGTCCCCAACTAGCCAGGTCACCCTAGGAGAGTGCCCCTTCAGGACTCCTCACTTCCTCCGGGCCAGCTACCTGCGCTCCCTTGGGCAAATGCCCTTCATTGTAGCCATTTCCATCCCTTCAAGGCGGGTTCGTCCATGTCCCCTCTTCCAGCCCAGCTTTCTGTTAAGGCTCCTTTGAGAAACTTGCCCCAGTGCTGGATCCTGGGCAGGCAACACCTCACGGGCCCTCCTACCAGCACCTCCCCTCCCCCAGCACTAACGGATGAGGGAGGTGGGGCAAGTCCTCCAGCCCAGAGGAGGGGTGGGAGAGGCCACAGCCCCACTCACTGGTGGCAGCTGTGCCACTCCCAGGTGTGCTTCGGCCGGTTCGGGAGGAAATCCGCTGTGCCCTGGTTCTTCACCCGCTGGGGGAAGCGCAGTAGCACCCGCACATCGTAGTCAGTGGCCTCCGGGGCATAGGCTGTGCTGCAGGACAGGTGGGAAGACAGGAGTAGGACTGGGAACCAGGGCACCCAAACCCAGAACCAGCCAACTTTCCCTGAAGATCCTGATACCTGACCCTGCACTGCGGGAAGGCTCAGCCCTCTCCCCGCTCTCCATAAGACTGGCAGCCTCGGGTCTGACACAGCCTCTGAGGGTCCCTGGTGCCTGGGAAAGCCCGTGTGTGTGCGTGTGTGTGTGTGTGTGTGTGGGGGGGGGGTCATATAGAAATCTTTAAGGTCTTTTTAAAAAATAGGCCGATCTTGCCCAGCCAGTGTGGCTCAGTTGGTTGAGTGTCATCCCATGCACCAGATCAGTGGTTGGTTTCCCAGTCAGGACACCAGCCTGGGGTGCAGGCTTGATCCCCAGGAAGCAGCAGATCAATGATTCTCTCTCATCATTGATGTTTCTATGTCTCTCTCCCTCTCCTTTCCTCTCTCAGAAATCAATAAAAACATATTTTTAAAAAACAATAAAAATGGGCCTATCCAGGAGATTCTGAAAGATTCTGTCCCTCCTCTGGACAGAGCCCTAATTGTTGACTAAAGTGTGTCACATTTTGGGTGTGGTCCTAAGAATCAGGCTCAGGCTCTTCAATGTCAAAGCCTAGTCACTCTCTTAGTCCTGTCTTCCATTCCCCACACACACTGGTTCCAGCTTCAAACACTGTTTCTCAAACAGACTTAATTCTTTTGCTAATCTATACTTTCGCCCATGCTGTTTGCTTGATCAAGAACTCATTTAGCCTCTAGGCAAACTCAATTCCCCTCCCTAAGGAATTCTGCTCTGATTGCTCCACTTAAAGAAATCTTGACTGCTTGTGAGCTCTAACAGTGATCCACACACTCCCCAAGCCAGGTCCATGTCACTAGGTCACCTCTACCTGTTTGTATGGCTTCAGTGACCTAGCCTTTTCTGTTCAGGAGGTATGGCTCTGGTGCAGTCTGCCTGCTCCCAACTCACTTACTGACCCCCAATTCCCAACTGAGATGGCTGTCCTCAGGAGCACTTCTCTGGCACTCATTAAGGTCTGGGCCCTAAGTACAGAGGCAGAAGGTGGCCATTTGTGGGAATTAGCTCTGTCTGAGAGGATGTCTGGACAACAGGCACTGCAGGCTCCTCTCTGCCAGGACATAAGTAAGGCCTTGTCTGGAGGAGGCTTGAAATCCATCTGTGTCTGGGTTGGAACAGATATCCTCCTTCCCCCTGCTGTGTCCTTCTGTTTCGCTCAGCACACTATGGGAAACCATCAAGGTTCTAGCTTGGCTACAAACTTGTGGTGAGACTTGGAACAAGTCCCTTCCCTTGTTTGGGCCCTGCTGGCCATCTGGGCTCTGGCATCAACCAGCCTGCAGCCCACACTTCTGATGATATCTGAGTGCCCTGTGCTCCAGGGCTTCAGTTTTGTCTGGTTTTCTAGGTCTGTACTCTGCACCCAGCTTCCTCTGATGCCTCGGCCCTTGCCGACCTCACACAGCTAGCTCCAGCTTGCACACTACTCATGCTAGTTCTCCTCCCTCTCCCAGTTGCCTGGTTCTGTCCTTGGGGCATGTCTCTTGGGCAGGACCAGGACATCGCCCCCAGGACTGTGCCCGGTTGCCTCCTTCCCAGCCCATCCAGGAGCTCAGGTCTGGACACACAGGATGTTCCAATGAAGATGGAGTGATAGTTGGGTTTTGACTCAAACTCAAAACTCAGCCTTAATGGATTGCCATGGAGGCTGAATTCCTCACTGCTGAAGGAACCATAGCAGGAGCACCATCACTGTGTTCTCTTTCCATGGACAACTGAGTGGTACTCAAGGTGTGGTCCCAGGATTGTTGCTAGTTCACACACTCTTTGTTGCCAGTCTGTAATGAGATAAGGAACTTGCACCAGCATGTAAATCAACTACATTACTAATCACAATGTTTAGTTAAGCTGAGAGTTCCTTTTTTGAAACCAGATTTTCTTGATGAAGGAAGCAGTGAGTTGAGCTGCATCCTGGTGTAATCTCCTTATATTGTTACGGAGATAATAGTTGTGATCAGCTACTCTGAGTGGCAGTGGACTAGAAGTTCCATAAATGAGAAAATGTTTAGATTCCAAAGGGCTTTCCAGATACTAAAAAAAATAAATAAAATAAAAGTAAATAAAGAGTTCAAGTGTCTAAACAAAGCAGGTAATTAAGAAAACTAGGTGCTTCCAGAATAGAGAAATGTCAACAAAAGAAGTAAGTCAATGTAATATTGAACTAGTCATTTAGCACAAGGAGGTGGCCCCAAGGCATACAAATTTGAACAAAATATTCACTGTTTATAAAGTTAGAAGCTAGCTCTGTAGGAAGCAGAATTGCCTAGGAATAATGGAGAGTTGGCTGGGCTAACCTTTGGGGTCATGTAAACTGGTCTCTCCCTTCTCTGGTGCCACACATAACTGAGGCCTCTTTGTCACCCATGCCCACTGTCCCTACTGTAACCCAGGTTCTGGGGCTCCCTGAGGACTTCCTGGGTCCTCGTAGAAGCACTGAAACTGGGCCCTCCACAGGAACCTTCTCATAAGGCAGCTCGGAGAAGAAAAGTTTTAGTTCCTGTCATTGCACCTCAGTTTCCTGCCCTGCTCAACACGCACCTTCAGGGCTGATGTGAAGATTAAAAGCCACAGTAAAAGGAAGCTTCTTTGTATAGTGACAATTGCTGGATAAAAGTTTGTTCCCTTCCCCTCCTGACTCCCTTGCAGCAGGCAAAGCTCATAGATGACGAGGGCCAGGTCCTGAGAGGCTCAGACACTTGGCCAGTCGGACACTTGGACATTGGCAGCCTGGCATGCAAGTGGGTTCTGGGTGACTCCTAGGGACTGTCCCAATGCTCCAAGCTTCATCCTCAGCTCCTTACCTGGCCAAGCACTTCTCCTCTGCTGCACAGCGCAGGGAGTATAGGTGGGCTCTCTGGACATAGGTGGATGCTTGCACATAGTTGGGGTCTGGGACCAAGTCAGGGAGACCTGGGAATGAGCAGTGGGAGAAAGGGAGGAGAGAGGAAGAGCATGACATTGAGAGTCAGGCTGGCCATGGTTAATGCCCAGAGACCTCCCCAGCCCCAAATACCCTTTGCCATTCTTCTTCCTCTAACAGGCTGTCATTCAGGAAGCCTCCCAGCCTGAGTTAGGTGTGGGATGTGAGCCCTTCTCCCTAAGTTCAGGTGTGGGAGTGCTGAGACCTGCTAGCAGAGCTGGGGCATAAGTAAGAGCTAGGAGACCGGGCAGAATGTGGAGAGCCAGAGAAGAGGGAAGGGTATTCTTGGTAAGGGGGAACAGCATGGACAAGACTTAGAGGCAAGACTGCATGAACCAAGTAATTTCCTGACAGAGACACCTTCCTCCATGTCCTTATTCCCCAGGCCTCTGCATCAGCCTCCAGACACCCTCTGCTCCTCTTGCCTAGCTTTTTTCATAAACCACCAAGATAGCTCTGGGCTTTTGGCCCCAAGTGAGTCCCACCAGGCTCGTGGGAAGAGCCAGGTGAATGTTGACTGGCAGAAGTAGGGGTGGGCAGGAAGGGATAAACTAGAAGGAAAACATATCTGCAGAGCAGGCTGCTGACTAGGCAGGGTTCTCAGCCTAGACACCCAGCCCTATTCCTTTCTTCCAGTCATCTTCCCCCAGACAGGACCACCCTCTCCCTCCCCTGTCTGCAGCTTCTGGCCTCCAACCTGAGGGCACCTGGTTTCCTCCCCTGAAGGGCTCAGGGGAAGTATGGAGTCTTCTCCAGCCCGTGATCACTTGATCTCAGGATATGCCAGGATCGGTCCATCCGACCTTCCTTCCTCCTTAACCCTCCCCAAGAATAAGTTATTCCCACTGAGGCAGATAAAGATGAAACAAGACTGTAAGCTCCTCCTAGCTTCTTTCAAGCCCTCTGCTCTTGGGGGACAAGCAAGGCAGGGTGACTCTGTCCTGTGCACAGGCTTCCAGCTCCCTCTTCTGGCTGCCAAAACTCTCTTGTCAGCCTTTAGGTCCAGAAAATGAGGCAGAAGAGGGCACTCTGGCTTCTAAGCCTTTCACAGAGGTGTCTGCCTACAAACCATCCCTCAATGTCCCCTGGGCTCCTAGACTGTACCCCTGCTCAACCTGGGGCCCCAGCCTCATGTGGGGACCGGGTTCAGGCAGCCAGGGTGACCTCACCTACTTGGAATGAAGAGAAATCTCGGAGCACTGGGGTGGGTGAGGATGAGGTGGCTCCTGGCTGATGGAGCCATCTTGGCCAGCCTAGGTCCCATTACTCAAGCCCCCAGGAATGC